GGGGGGGGGGGGCAATGACCGAGAAAGGGGACCTCCCGAGAACCTGGGGTGGGCAGCAGTGTGTTCTGTGTCCTGCAGCCACCAGCTCCAAACTCATGGGCTTGGGTTATAGGAAAACTCTGCTGTCACCTCCATCATCACTGTGTGGGTATTTTCCACACCAAGCACTTCTCCAACTTTCTGGGCACTGACTGAGTGTCCAGCAATTCAGTTCAATCCCGACACTAACTGTCTAGAGTTAGCACAGACCCCACAGGTAAGGACTCAGTCCCTCAAGATGCCCCCACTTCAGATGCCAGTGGCAGATTCCAGGGGCCCCCGTACTTCTGTCTGCCCTGCTATAAATCGGGGGTTCCCCTGACACCCTTATGTGGTTTGATAATTTGCTGGAGCATCTCACAGAACTCAGGGCAACACTTTACTTATTGCTCCCGGTTTATTACAAAGGATGCAGGTCAGGAACAGCAGGATGGAAGAGATGCTCAGGGCAAGTTTGGAGAAGCAGATTTGACCTTCCAACCCTGTCTAGGTGCACCACCTGCCTGAACCGCACCGCTTAGGGGATTGTGTGGAGGTTGCATTCCATAGGCGTGACTGATTACACCACTGCTCGTTGGTGATTGAACTCAACCTTCAGCCCCTCTCCCCTCTCCGAGGTTGGTGGTGGGTTTCCTCACAAGTCCCGCCAAAAACTCATAGCATCCTGGGCCTTCCCAAGCCCCTGGAGACAAGTACAGGAGCCCCTGGAACTTGCAACTGGCCTCCGAAGTGGGGGCATCTTGTGGGACTAAGCCGTTACCTGTGGCGCCTGGGCCACCTCCAGATAGTGTCAGGATGGAACTGTCAGGCAGAGAGTTCCAAATCTTGTCTTTCTGGTGACCAGCCTCATCCTGGGATACCTGGGATCCCCACCTGAGTCACCTCAGTAGCATAACCTCAGGTGTGCTGGAAAGGGGCTTCTTATGAGCAATAAAACAGTCTATTTATTCAGGAAATTCTGAGGGTGTTAGGAGCTTTATGCTAGGAACTGGGGACAATAACCAAATCTATTTCTAATGACACCACTATCATCCACAGGCGATGCTGTCCTCGGCCAGTAGGTCGAGAGTCTGTGTATAAGAGCTGCATGCAGGCCCACAGAGGTGGACACATCACAAACCCCGGGGTGGTCAGTGTTGGGACAGTCACCCTTTGCCACTCCTGGTACAGGGTCTCTGTGTTGCCCTGGGAGCAGATGGGGCTCAGCAAAGCCCAGAGGGAAAGTGGGCTCAGAACCCAGCAGACTTCCATTGGAGATCTCAGGAAAGATAGAAGTAGAAAGCAGCGCCGTTTCCTCCTGTCATCTGAAGGCCAAACGTGGGCCACTTTCTAAAACATTCTGAGTTGCTACCAGACATAGTTAGGTCATTTTTTCTGGGGCGGGGGAGCAGTCTGTTTGGGGACACTTGATAACTCCAGTAATCTTGAGGGTGGATGAGCCTTGGGTAGATGCAGCGCAGGCTGGCAGGGCCCGAGCTGGTGGCCACCGTGCCTCAGTGACCTCAACCTCTTCCCACAGGGGATGTGACCCTGGACCCAGACACTGCCAACCCTGAGCTGGTCCTTTCAGAGGACAGGAGGAGCGTGCAGCGGGGTGACCTGCGGCAGTCCCTGCCTGACAGCCCGGAGCGCTTCGACCCCGGCCCCTGCGTGCTGGGCCAGGAGCGCTTCTCCTCGGGCCGCCACTACTGGGAGGTGGAGGTGGGGGACCGCAGCAGCTGGGCCCTGGGCGTGTGCAGGGAGAACGTGAACAGGAAGGAGAAGGGCGAGCTGTCGGCCGGCAACGGCTTCTGGATCCTGGTGTTCCTGGGGAGCTACTACACCTCGCCCGAAAGGGCCTTCGCGCCCCTCCGGGACCCTCCAAGGCGCGTGGGGATCTTTCTGGACTATGAGGCCGGACATCTGTCATTCTACAGTGCGACTGACGGGTCGCTGTTGTTCATCTTCCCCGAGACCCCCTTCTCTGGGACGCTCCGGCCCCTCTTCTCACCTCTGTCAAGCAGCCCGACCCCTATGACCATCTGCCGGCTGAAAGGCGGGCCTGGAGATGCCCTGGTTCCCCAGTGACTTGGACCCTCTCGGGGGAATCCCTTCCCTTCTCCCGGCCACTTGTCCTGGCTTTGGGTGTTTTGTTCACTTGGAGGACTTGGGTGGAGGAAGCGTGTCCTCTGGGCAACGGGAGGAACGTGTAGTGCCTTTGTGAGTGTACATGGGAAAACCTGAGTTCTGGAAATGGCATGGGCAGATGTGGGGTGGGCCTTGTCCTCCCTGTGGGACCCCTCCAGGCTACCAGATGCCACTAAGCATCAACAGCCCTGACCAAAGCCCTGAGCCTCGCAAGCCCCACCAGAAACACACAGCATCCAGGGCCTGCCCGAGCACCCCACCTCTAGGGACATGCCCCATGTGGCTGCTGGGAGGGGGGCCAGTTCCAAACCCATTTATGTCCCATGAAAGGGGAGGGCCACCTACTGGAGGGACATCAGTCTTCAGGCAAAAGATGATCCGAGGAAGCCAAGTAGGAGGGGAACTGAGCAGAAGTCCCTAAATAAAGGGCCTTCTGGAAAATGCCCTGGGTGCAGAGATTCACCTTTGGCAGTTCTGTGGGGTCTGGAGGTGAGAGTAGGACTTGGAAGTGACACTTGCAGTCTCATGGTTGTGTTTGGAAGCCTTTCTGGGCATATTCCTGGCCGAGAGCTGCTGGCTTTTACCCTCGCAAACGCTTCTCTGGTCTCCATACTGACCTCAGGTGGCAGTCCCTGACTTCAGGAACCTGTCTGTAGGGTCTTGGCTCCTGCCAAGGGCTTGGGACATTTCAGAGGCTGTGGTCCTTCCACTCTGGAGGAGGAGGGTGGCTGCAGAGAGCCCTAAGCACACAGAGTCAAGGAGGGTGTTGGTGTGTTAAGGTTTGGTGTTTCTTCCCCCTTTATAAGAAGGTACCACTTGACTTCTCTTTTCCCCCTCCATTTTATTTATTGTGAGGACAGAGTTCCCACATTAAATAAATTTTGATCACTGTAATCCCACTATTCCCTGCTTATGTAGACAAATAGTGGCTGCCCGATGTCAAGCAGAGGGCCAGAGTCAGGGTGATAGAGCAGGCGGGATCCTACCTGCACCAGTGGCGTGTGACTCCTTCACTAGCAAACGGTGAGCACTGTAGTATCTGCGAGTGAGTCCTACCTGGCAGGGGGGAGCCCTACACTAGCAGTGTGTGAGCCCTAGACAAACAGCTTTTACACTGTCAGTGGGTGAGCCCTATACTAGCCCTGGGTGAGCTCTACACTGGCAGTGAATGAACCTTCTCTTGCTGTGGGTTATCCTATACACTAGCAGGGCCTAAGCCTTACATGAGAAGTGGGTGAGTCCTACACTAGCTCTTGGTGAGTACTGCACTAGCAGCGTGAGCCTCACACCCCTGTGTAGTCCCATGCACTAGCAGTGGGTGAGCCCTACACTAGCGGTGGGTAATCCTGTATACTGGCAGTGAGTGATTCTTACACCAGCAGTGTTTGAACTGCTTCCATCCAGCAAGGGTGACCTCAGAGGCCCTATGCCCCATCCATCCCCAGATGTCCTCAGAGGCCCTATGCCCCATCCATCCCCAGATGTCCTCAGAGGCCCTGCTCCCATTTCATCCAAGGGTGATCTCAGCCCCTGCACTTCATCAAGGGTGACCTTAGAGTTCCTGTGCCCCCCAAATCTGATCGTGACCTCCGAGTGCCAGTTCTTCATTAATTTATCAAGGACAGCTTCACAGTCCCTGGCCCATCCATCCATCTGAGGGTAACTGCAGAATCTCTGCACCCCATCCATCCCAGTGTGACCTCAGACTCCCTGCACCTGAGTTCTATGTCGTCACACGAAACCTGTGCCCCGGTAGCTTGCCTTTTCTTTGCCTGTGGGCATACTGCTTGCTCCCAGCACGTCTCCATTATAGACAGTGCTCCAGCAAGGGTTATTGAACACAGTGTGCCAAAAGAGCAGGGAGAACCAACTACCAAGTCCTGTGGTGGAGAGGACTCTTTTGTAAGGACTTTGAAACTGCGGGAGCCTGGGCACAGTAAAAAGCAGAGCAACCTCTAAAACTCGTGCACTGTGCCCTCCCCCAAGCCTGTGCTCTGGTCATGGTCCCTGCTTCCCTCTTCCATGAATACATGGGATTACTGGGCTGTGGGGTAAGTGCACTGTCGCCTTAACAGAGGCTGCCTCGGGCTCTTTCTCACTTAGCCACCCTATGTCCTCCATTTCCTTGGATGTGAGAAAGAAGATTTGAGACAGAAGCCCAGCCCAGGATATCAGGAAGCTGGCAGGGAGGTCCTTCTTGCCTTGGACGTAAACTGCCTTGCAGGACATCAACCTCAGATGAGGACCCTCTGACACAATGCCAGTCCTCCTCATATTATGTCTCAGCAAAAATGGAAAAGCGGCCAAACACCCTCCCTTGGCTAAAATGCGTCACTACCAATTGTTCACCAGCTTTAGCTCACTCTACCAGCCTTCCCTGTGGGTGAGGTTTATTGAGACACCCAATCATGGGATTGTCCCGTGTTTGGATAACATGCAACCCAGAACCAACTAGCAGCGTGTGAACCTGTTTTCTTAAATGCACTTTGCAACCACCCAACCAGAGACCACGTCACATAGTCCATTCCTCTGAGCACCGTCTTACTGAGCTGCCCGTGGTCCCCAGGGTGGGGGGTGTGATCGCCTTCACTGCCACCAGTGATAAGCCTGACTTACTGGACCATAGCTGTGTTCCTGGGGAGCTTGGGCTGGAGGGGGTGGACAGCAGACTCTGCCTTCTTGGTTTTAAGCCAATCCCTTGATCCAGTGACTGCCACATGCTAAATTCAGCCTATCCCAGTTTCCCCATCTCCAGACCACCCTGTTCAAATAGTGGACACTTTCCTTGAATCTGACCGAAGCTGGACACTTTGATCTAAAACCCTAACATCTCCAAAACTGAACTAGCCAGCACCCAGCACCGCCCCCGCAAACACTGCCTTTACCCCTCTCCTGCTTTGCAATGCGGTGATGGCCGACATGTGGCCACTCAACAATCCCTAAAGCACCCTTTACTCATTTCCCTACAGTTCTGGTATAGGGGAGGACAATGAAGATCATTTCTCCACCCGACTCAAGGTTCATGGCTAACGAGAATGAACCTATAACACAGATTAAGAGAAAAGGATAACAAATTTAATTAACAAAAGCTTCACATGCTAAGTGAGCCTTCAGAAATGAAGACCCAAACAGAGACATCTGTCTGTCTTTATGCTTGGGTTTGACGAAGAATGGACAGCGGTGTTGGAATCATGATTGGACAAAAGCGTTTCGACCTAATGGGAATAACCTGGGAGAACCTAGCAAGGCCTGTTTGTTCAGATTCTTCTTAGGCTCTGGATGCAGGGCAGGACCCCCCTGGGATGAGGGTTTTATGACCTACTTTTAGGGGAGGTGGATCAGAGAATTCTTTTTATGATTTCCTGCAGGGGAGAAAGGTAAGAGAAGATCACAGTTTCCTTCAGCTGAAAATGCTCCATGTGTCAAGAGGTGCTATATATTAAGGTATCACTTTCTGAGCCCCATTACTGACATCTCACAAAACTAGTACAATATGACGATCAGGACGTTGACATTTATGCAATCAACATAGAGACCGTTTTCATCACCACAGGGTCCCTCCTGTTGCCCCTTATAACCACACCCACTTGTAACACGCCTTAATCCTGCCACCTGACAATCTGTTCTGCATACTTTCGTCATTTCAAGAATGTTCTATAAGTGAAATAATCCCATATGTCAGCTTTGGAGACTGGCTTTTCCTTGGCTAGCATAATTCTCTGGAAATTCATGAAGATTGTTGCCTGTGTGAATAGTCGGTTCCTTTTTATTGCTGAGAAGTATCTTCTGGTGTTTGTGCCACAGTTTGTTTAACGATTTACCCACTGAAGGACATTCAGGTTGTTCCCAGTTTGGGGCTATTACAAATAAAGCTTTTATAAACTCTCATGTACAGGTTTCTGTGGGACCTTAAATCCTCATTGCTCTGAAATAAATGCCCTGGAATGCGATGTCTGCATTGTTTATAGTTTCATTTGCCATCTGTATATCCTCTTGTTAAAACCAAACAAACAAAAAACAAACTTTAGACAGATTAAATTTTAAGAAGTTTAATTGAGCAAAGAATGATTCATGAATTGGGCTGGCCATGAACTGTCCCCACCCGCAGGATATTCAACGCAGGCCCTGGAGGGGGGAGTGGGAATTGGATGGGACAAGAGACACGAGAAATTGAGACAAGACAGTATTCTGATCAAGTCTCGTTTATTGATTCTTAGGTTACATCTTATATAGGAGAAAGCAGGCATGCTGCAAAGGGTCTGGAATGTAAAGATATGATAATATCTTGAGGAGAGACAAAGACAGGACATTCAAAGTAAAGGTTGCCACCCAGAATGTTTATGGTTAAACAGTTTCTAGAGAAGGATAAAAGGTCACTTGCAAATTAACTTGCATAGCCAGGAGCAATCAGTTTCTGGCATAAAGATTTCGAGGCAGTTATCATGTAAAGCACGGCCATCTGAGCAGATTGTCACAGGAGCAGTCTCACAAGAAGGGGTGTGGGACTTCAGGCCCCCAACAATGAACCAGAATAGATTCAGATAAGACTCTATAGATACATAGATAGATATTCTGGGAACCCCTTGTATTAGTCAATTATCTGTTGCTTATAACAGAATAAATTAAATTGGGTAATTCATTAGAAAATGAAATTTCTTTCTTACAGCTATGGAAGCTGGGAAGTCCAAGCTCAAGAGAGCACATGTAGTGAGGGACTTCTCACTGGTTGGGTGACTCTACAGAGTTCTATGGTGACACAAGTTATCACATGGACAGGGCTGAGTAAGATGTCATTTATGTGCTCACTTTCTCTCCTTATAAAGCCCCTACTGCCACTCCTGTGAGAAGCAATTATCATTAACCCATCAATCCATGAATGGGTTATACGCATTAATCCATTAATCCATTCATGACAGCATCCTCATGATCCAGTCACTTGCCAAAGTCCCCACCTTGCCAATACCATAGTTTGATTTCCCAACTTGTTAACACTGTTACAATGGGGATCAAGCCTTAATGAGTTTTTGAGAAACATTCAAACACTCACTCCTGCTAATTCAGAAAACAAAAATCCTGGGGCCAGCCCATGGCTCACTTGGGAGAGCGTGGTGCTGACAACACCAAGTCAAGGGTTAAGATCCCCTTACTGGTCATCTTTAAAAAAAAAAGGAAAAAAGAAAGAAAACAAAAATCCTGCAACATATTACAATGGGCACAGTTTCACACAGCAGAATGCTCAAGAACTGGGGAATTCCCAGGAGCAGAAGCCAAGACAGGAGAAGAGACCCGGGTTGGAAGGAATCTGGGAAGCCAGGGCCACGCTTGTCCTACAGTGGATGACAAGAGCTGGACACCTTGTTCTAACAGTGGTGAGAGTGAAAGAACAGCACAAAACCCCACAACTAGGTGAGTAGGGATAGAAATCTCTGACTGAAATGGGGATCCACGAAGTTTTACTCTGTGTGTAAAAGGATGGGCATCCAAAAGCTGCCTTCAGACTCTCTCTGCTTCCACCATCTTGCAGTGTACCACTGCATGGACTTTGGACTTCCCAGTCTCAGAAACTGTCTTTGTGAACAGTGAGACGTCTGGCTAGGGAGGCAGAGACTCGGCAGAAACCACACACCCTGTGGGGCTGCCACTGCGTGATCCAGCAGCCTGGGCCAGAGTGCACAGAACAGGGAGAAGTCCGGCACGGGAAGTGGAAGCTCAGCAGAGACCACACACCCTGTGGTACTGCCCCGTGGTCCAGCAGCCCAGCAGAGTCCAAGCTGACCAGAGAGGTGGCTCCACGGAGAGGCCCAAGACCCGAGGCAACCACACACACAAGGCAC